CAGATTTATGGGGCTGGGGGAGAAAAACTGTAGTTCAAGACCTACTAAGAAATGGGGGCCCTGGTAAACTCCCCCACCCTCCACTAGGCTTTGGGTTGGGACCATGAAAGTTTACACCTGAGGAGTAAGAGTAAACAGGAAACAACAGACCAGCCCGTCATAGAAACTGAAGACAACGTGATCAAAAAACAAAAAACACCCCGAAAAAAACAAAGAGGAACAACAGATAATAGAAACAATTACACAGAAGATCCAGATAATGGCATTATCAACTAAACTTTTAAATAACAATGCTTAGTGTATTCAAAGACATATAAGACAAGACCACAAACTAGAAATTATAGAAAAGAACCAAATGGAGGGGCTTCCCTGGTGGCGCAGTGGTTGAGAATCCGCCTGCCAATGCAGGGGACACGGGTTCAATCCCTGGTTGGGGAAGATCCCACATGCCACGGAGCAACTAAGCCCGTGCACCTCAACTATTGAGCCTGTGCTCTAGAGCCCGTGAGCCACAACTACTGAGCCCGCGTGCCACAACTACTGAGCCTGCGTGCCACAACTACTGAAGCCCACACACCTAGACCCCGTGCTCCACAATGAGAAGCCACAGCAATGAGAAGCCTGTGCACTGCAACGAAGAGTAGCCCCCGCTCACCGCAACTAGAGAAAGCCCACACGCAGCAATGAAGACCCAACACAGCCAAAAATAAATAAAATAAATTTATTTTAAAAAAAAAGAACCAAATGGAAATTCTAGAACTTAAAAATACAATAATAGAGGGCTTCCCTGGTGGCGCAGTGGTTGAGAATCTGCCTGCTAATGCAGGGGAAACGGGTTCGAGTCCTGGTCTGGGAGGATCCCACATGCCACGGAGCGGCTGGGCCCATGAGCCACAACTACTGAGCCTGCACATCTGGAGCCTGTGCTCCGCAACAAGAGAGGCTGCGATAGTGAGAGGCCCGCGCACCGCGATGAAGAGTGGCCCCCGTTTGCCACAACTAGAGAAAGCCCTCGTGCAGAAACGAAGACCCAACACAGCCAAAAATAAATTAATAAATTTAAAAAGATACAATAATAGAAATTAAGGACTCAGTGGATAGTTTTAACATCAGATTAGACACAAACGAAGAGAGAATTAGAGAAGTAGAAAATGATACTAAAATATTACAGCATAATATAGTTGTTAAGTACCTGCTGTGTGCCAGGTACTGCACACACTGGGGCTACAGAAGTGAAAAAAAAGGACATAGTCCCTGTTATTATGGAACTGACATTTGAATGGGGGAAAACATTAAAAATTATGGTAATTTAAGATTTCAGTAAATGCTGTGAGGAAGTCAAAAGTGTGGTGTGAGAAAAGAGAAATGGGAAGAGGACATATTATAGGTTAGTGTTCAGGGAAGACCACTCAAAGGGAATGTTTGTGCAGAACGAGAGGGACCTGGGTGAGCAAAACACCTCAGACCACTCCCTGTCCCAGTTTCACAGTGTTCTTTAATGACTGTTCCCAGGGCCTTGCACAGTCTCACACTGGGCAAGCGCTCAATATGTACTTGAGCTCAGTGACAGAATGGAACACAGCAAGGATGGGAAGAAAGGAAGGGGGTTGCAGCACATATTACAGTATGATCTGCCCTGCAGCTTTCATCCCCACTGAGAGAGGGCTGTGATCCAACAGCGCCACAGAACATTCCAAGGGAAATCTTCATCTGTTTGTTCATCCATCCATCCATCCATTCATTTCAGACAATTTATTGACACCTACTGTGTATCAGGTAAGATGAATGAGTAAAGATCCCTTCCCTTGAGGAGTTCATAGTCCAAGAAGGAGACACATACAGAAAAAAATCACAAAAAGGAATAAGGAATGTTATAATGGCAGCAGGCCTACTAGAATGTAGAGTGTAATTCTATCTGGGGGGAGTGGGGGTATTCATGGAGGAGGGGACATTTGAACTAGTTCTTGAAGGATGGAGGGGGATTTTCCCAGGGGGAAAAGGCAAAGGAGGATGTTCCCATTGGAAGGAGAAGCCTCAACATAGGAGAGAACATGATAGTTTCTGGAACACTGAGAAGGGTGAAGGGCAGGACACATAATATGAAGGTCCTAAATGTCAACAGGATATAGGGAGGGCTTGACCCAAGGCGCCTGTGATGTGGCTGGAGAAAAGGGGAAGGTGGGAGAGATAGCCAGGTTTTTATTCTGAAGGAATGCTTGGACTGAGAGGACCTCTTTCTCCATTATTATTTACCTCTCCCTCCTGAGCTGCTAGGAGTTGATAAACTCTTTAGCCCCAAAGGGGTCATAACTGATAAGGGTTTTTCAGGAAATGACCTAGAAGCAAAGTGGACTCTATTCTCAAGAACAGAGGCCTCCAGAACCCTCTAACACTCTAACCCTGTAACCCTCTACTTCCTCATCCCACAGGTGGGGAGCAGACCCAGAAAGAGCCTCCCTCCTCCCATTCCAGGGCTTTTGCACCATTGTCAGGCAATGAGCATCCACCCCAGGATGGAATCAAGAAGAGGCCAAGTGGCCCCCACCCCAGAAGTCCAGAGGGAGTCCTGGGTGAGCTTGGAAGCTGGACAAATTTTCCTCCAATGTCCTTCTAACACTTAAATTTTTTTTTTTTTTTGGCTGCACTGGGCAGCACGCGGGATCTTAGTTCCCTGACCAGGGATCAAACCCGTGGCCCCTCTAGTACAAGCGCAAAGTCTTAACCACTGGACGGCCAGGGAAGTCCCTAACACTCAAATCTTATGTAAGTCTGGAGACCTTGGAAAGATTTCCAGAACCATCTAAGATGGGAGATAGAAAAATATAAGTCAGAAAAATAACTATTAGGCGAGCTTAGACTCTTGTTTCATTTTCATAACTTTGTTTTTGGAAAACATCTTTTTAAAAACAATATGACAATATTATGAGAAATTTAATTTGCATGATAAGGGTTATCATGCAAGGTGGGTTCTATTAGAATCTCTATTTTCCAGATATGGAAACTGAGGCTCAGTGGAGTAGCTGGAGCAGAAACAGCCAGCTAGTAAGTGACAGAGCCCAGTCCCATAGACTTGTTAAGTATTGGTGGCCCATAATATTTCCTCAATAAATGATGGCCATCACTATTTTCCAAGTTTCTATGATGAAAATGTATACTTTTATAATAAGGCCCTGACTTCCCCCAATAAATGTGTTTTAAAAAATAATAAACTGGGGACTTCCCTGGTAGTGCAGTGGTTAAGAATGTGCCTGCCAATGCAGGGGACGCAGGTTCGATCCCTTGTCCGGGAATATCCCACATGCCGTGGAGCAACTAAGCCCGTGCGCCACAACTATTGAGCCCACGTGCCGCAACTAACAAAGCCCGTGTGCTCTGGGATCCGTGTGCCGCAACTACTGAGCCTGCGTGCTGCAACTGCCGAAGCCCAGGCACCTAGATCCCGTGCTCCACAGCAAGAGAAGCCACTGCAATGAGAAGCCCACGCACCGCAACGAAGAGTAGCCCCCGTTCGCCGCAACTAGAGAAAGCCCGTGCTCAGCAATGAAGACCCAACGCAGCCCCCCCCCAAAAAATATATATATATATAATAATAATAAACTGCCCGCCAGGTTAGAGGGCTCCCACCTCCCTCACAGGAACGAGATATTTGCTGAATGTCTGCCTACTGCAGAGTCTCAGGCCATGCTTCCGGCCCTGGGTAGGAGGGAGGTATGTTGTAAACTCTGATGCTTGGGTAAATGCCAGTTCACTCCCCAGTCTTGCTGAGGTGGGAGGCAGCGGGCACACCAGGACCCATGAGGCCAGAGCCCCCTGCCTCCCATTGCTGTTGGTCCTTGCTTATCTTTAAGAGCAGAAGGAACATGAGCAAGGTGACAGTAAAAGGTTGCTAGTCCCCTGACTATGGCTCCAACCCCCCAAAACACTTGGCCCCAGCATGACCTCGAACTTTCTCATCTATCTCAAGCCTCTGAGAACTTTCTGGGAGCAGCTTAGTGGCAAGAGAGCTCTCCCACCTCCAACTTCCAGTCACACTTTCCACCTGAACCCTTCCCTTCGCCGTGGACCTGTACCACCTGCACCTTGGCTTACCTTTGCCTGCCTGTTTTACTAAAGGGGGAGCTTCTGGAAAGAGCACAGATTCTGGAGGCAGACAGTTCTGGGTTTGAATCCACTTTTCTGCTTTCTACCTGCATAGTCTTGAGTAAGTCACTTTACTTCTCTGAGCTTCAGTTTTCTCATCTGTAAAGCTCATAATTTTGGCATCTGGCACTTGCAAGACACTCATTAATTGGTAGCTTCCTTCAGTCTTCAATTGGTGTGTAAAGAATGCCTCAAGGAGCCTGCCCTCCCCTAAATGCAGTAGACGAGAAGGTCAAATGGAAAATATTAGTAAGTGCAGTTTGAGACACACAGAGAAAGGGCTTTGGTGGTTAAGCCAAGGCATAAGGAAGTGGGTGCCAGAAATCATAGACACCCACATCATAGCTGGAAGACTGAGATGATAATGCTAGTTAAAAGCAGGAAATGTTTTGAAAACTTATTCTGTATGGGTATTGTGACAGGTACTCTGTATGCATTATCTCATTTAATTCTCATGGCAACTCTGTGGGGATGGGTATTATCCCCATTTTACAGAAGAAATTAAGGTGAGGAACTTGCCCAAGGACACACAAGTCAGGATCCACGACTCCAGAGGCCTAAGTCCATGCTCTTAACTAAACTGTCTCTAGTTTTTTGTTTTTTTCGGTACGCGGGCCTCTCACTGTTGTGGCCTCTCCCGTTGCGGCGCAGAGGCTCCGAACGCACAGGCTCAGCGGCCATGGCTCACAGGCCCAGCCGCTCCGCG